AATAGTCTGCTGGTTCTTCTAATGAATTTTTTTAGTTTAGTTCAAGTTTTATTTTTTTTCTATACTTTATTTTGCCCTGTTCTGTTTCCAATGTTTATTTCAAACTTTATTGCATAGAAGAAATTTTTATTTTTAATGATATTTTTTTCTTTTGTGAGGTGGTTTTTTAATGTAGTAATTAAATTTTGTTTGTAAAGCAAATGTTTTTGTGCGATCAGACTTTAGTTTCTTAAAAAACTTCTAGTCGTTATGTAGCTGCGATTTTTTTTCTTTTTTTCTGTAAGCTCTTTTGTGCGAGGTATGTGAAACAGTCAGTCATTTTGGTTTTTTTCTGCGGTTCTAGAGTTGTTCTTGTCTTGTCTTCGAAGCTCAGAAGGAATAATTTGCGATGAAATACTGAAAAAGGATAAAGACTTGTTCAGCTGAGTTAACCATACATTATACCGGTTCAGTGAAAGTTTTTTCGTGGCTTTTTTTTCTGTTTGAGGGAACGTGGAATATGTGATTTTTAGCCTCTTTTTTCCAAATCGCAGGATTTGAGTGTTAGAAGGAAAGTAAGTGGGAAAAAATGGAGGCTAGATTCACTGAGGATATGTTTAAAGGTTAGACTAGGAGCATAAGTGTAGTTGTTGATTGTTATGTCTGGTTCATAGTTTCGTTGTATAGATTATTTGGTTGCTGGTAAGTTATTTTGTGTAAATATTTTGGAGGGTAAAACAAGAGGATGCTGAGAAGTATCCATCCATTGTTGCTTTTTTACTTGTTTAACCTTAAGTCAGATTTGAGATGGTTGGTGATGTTTTTTGTTTTATCTCTCCATCCCTCTCAACTTTCGTCTTTTCTGATTGCGGTTATTCCCTTGACTAGAGAAATTTTTTTGAATGTTTGAAGTGTTTTGGTTTGAATGGTCTCATCATCATCATCATTATAATCATCACCATTACTTAATTTTTTATTTTTTAGTTTTCAAAAGCATATGTGTTGTTTCTTCTTTTGAAATTTATGTGTATATTACATATTTTTTAATTGACAGCTACATGAATTTTATGAAACAGAAGGGCAGTAGTTTGTTTTCACTTTTATTCAACTACTGTATTTCTGGACGTAATGAGAGCAATTTTTATTTTCTACGCTCTGAAATAATGGCTAAGGATCTTTTTTTTTTCAGTGGGAAACATTTCATTTCTAAGTTCTGTTACTGCATATTGTCTTTTGTTAGGAGAGTAGTTGAGCTAATTTTTCTAAAATTTTTATAATTTACAGTTCTTCTATTTACCAACTAATAGAACTTCATGTTATTTGCAAGTGAATGTTTACTGGACTTTCAAGGCGTTTTTTTCCACGGCATATACAACGTTTAGTGATCTTAAAGTTTTTTTCAAGTGCGTATTGGTGTCGTATGAAGTTTTTTGGACTGCTGCTAAAACAGTATGACGACTTCGGTGAGCCGTCCAGGACGTGATATATTCAGTCGTTCGGCATTGACAACCTCTCTTTGTGATCCCTTAGTGGCACCAGTTACCGCCACAAACCTTGGCGAAAGAGTTCGGCGACTGCAGCAAATGCTGATGGAGCGGCAAAATAATGGAAGTAATAGTGTATCAGCCTCCAAGAATTCCTATCAGCGAGAAAATAGAATTGTCACGGAAAATAGTTGTTTGAAGAAAAAACAATCTGCAAACAGTTCTGAATATGTCTCATCACCTGGACGGAAAAGTAAGGAATTAGAAAAACGACCAATTCCAACTATATCAGTTGAACAGTATGACGATTCGCATACATCAGCCTTACCAGCTGGTCATCTCGATATTCATAATAATCTATCAGAAAAATTAGAAAATGATTTATTGAAGACTACGAAGGAAAAATCTCGAACAGTTAGGAAATACCTCGGGAGTTTAACAAGCACTCGATATTTACATAGCATTTTTTCTCCTATTATCAAAGAAAGTTCTTCAGAAGATAGTAAGCATCATGCTTTGAGTACAAAGCATAGCTTTTCTCAGCCTAATGCTGACGACAATGTTTGTGCAATTGTTGTTCCTTCTGAATCCACAACACAAATTCCGGTAATAAAAAGGAGGAGCATGGTCAGAGAAATTGATCTAAACGAAGGGGTTAAAGGGAAAAACATTACTGCTACTCTTTGCAGTGGAGTTCCTTCTAGTTTATTGCAAAAAGAGACTGGATGTACAACAAGATATTTGTTGGACGACGGCAAGACTTGTACAAAAGATAAAATCGAAAGACAAGGGTCAAAAAGACGTTCATATGCTGGTGACGATAGGATTTTCAGAATACCGTTTTTGAACTCCAGTGTAGTCACTGCTTGTCGGCAGAAGTCTGCTGTATACGATTCCAGTCCTTCTAGTAAAGTGAAAAGTACTAGTGATGAAGGAACGGACGAACTGAATTCCGATGGTAAAGATGGTAAAAATTTGGAAAAGCAACCGTCTTCTGACATTTTAACTGTTACTGGGAACGCCCTTTCGATATCTGAGTCTTTTAAAAATGACGGTGGTATTGAAGAGACTGAAAAATCAACATTTAAGAATATTATAGTGGGGAAAAGTAGTTCTGAGTTTATGAGAAATGAAGACCCACTTGTTTCAGTAGAAGATAAAAGATTGATGGAGGAAAATGAGCTTGCAGAGACAGTTCCAATAAAGGAAGTGCCTTTGTCGAAAGTTGAGGGCGAAGTTAAAAGGCTTTCTTTTACTGAATCTTTGTTTCCAAATCCAAATCATTCGGTCCTTAGTGGAAGTCCAGCATCATATTACAGAGGCATTAAACTTCCGTTACCTCCTTTACCGGAAGTGTATTCAGTGCGGAAATCATTTGATGAGTCTTCTCAAGATGTTGATAAAAGTCCATCTGGTCTAAAAACTCGAAAAACTCCGCTTAGAGCTTATGGCCGCAGTCATACAACTAGCACGTACAATGGCTGCAAGGATGCCGCGCCTGATGCTTCACCACGTCGTCATCTTATTGGCTTTCTTCATCGCACATCACATCTTTCGCTAACAAGTGAACTAAGTGCAGATGCTTCGTTCTACCTAATTGGTTAGTTTTTTGGAAAGTCTGCTGGCTTAAGATTTTTTTTTTTTTTGCTGTTAAAGTAGCATGCTTCTTATGGCTTCACATTATTGTCCATATGCTGTGATTGTGCTCAATATAAGTAATGAACCATTTGTTTTCATAAAATATCTTCAGTCTGCAGAAACTTTTTATTTTATGACAGCCAAGAAGATTACAGTTGTTCAGTGTTATAGAAATTTTTCAAAGTGAATTTGACTGAATTGGCTGTAATTAGGAATTTTATTGCGTTTTAGGCCATCGTGCCGGAAAACGTTACGATGATTCGACAATCGGGTCGGAAAGTGATGCTCGTCTTTTTTCAGATGATGATGAACGTTCACGGTAATTTTCAAAAAATTAATTTTTACAATTTCGCCGACACATTTGTCTAGAAGATTTATTATATATTCGGAAAGTATTTATTTAATTTACTAATTTTTTGGTCATTGATGTTTTCCTAGGGTGTCAACTTCTACTGATATTACCAGCGTTTCTCGGCAGCATCAGGCAAATGCCTATCGTAAACGTCGTAATCGGCGTAAGTTTCGGCAGCCGTCGAGGGCTTCTTCATTTAGTAGTATTACAGAAAGCTCTATGTCACTTGATGTGATTACTGTAACTTTAAATATGGATACAGTTAATTTTCTTGGAATAAGTATTGTTGGTCAAAGTTCATCACGTGGTGATAATGGGATCTATGTGGCAAATATAATGAAAGGTTAGTGGTTAGTTTTTTGTACTGTTCCTTTGTTTCTCTTCAGTGTTCTTCTTAGTCTTTCATGCTTTTTCTTCCAGGTGGAGCTGTTGCTCTTGATGGACGCATTGAGCCAGGCGATATGATCTTGCAAGTAAACGATATATCTTTTGAGAACTTTACTAACGATCAAGCAGTCGATGTGCTTAAGGAGTCTGTAGCTAGAAGAGGGTTTGTTTTTTGTCGTTTCTTGAGATTTATCAGTTTTTTGGGGGATATCTTCTGTTTATTTTATTGTGTTTGATTTCTTTCAAAATTTTTCCTTATTCAGTTATTGATTTTCTTTGTCCTTGAGTCATAGTACCTTCTGCACCTAATAATTTTGTTTTCTAGGCCTATAAAGTTAACGGTCGCTAAAATGTACGATGGGGGACCTCGCAGTGCATTTACGGTACCAAGGCGTACAGATGAGCCTGTTCGGCCCATTGATACACAGGCGTGGGTTCAGCACACTAACGCAATGCGCGGCATGCCATCGATTTTAGAAGGTGATTCTTAGCTTATTTAATTGAAGACGCTTCGTGTCTTTTTGCCTCAATAGTCTTTTTTCTAAATCTCAATCGAAAGCTAGTTTTTTGTTATCTTGGCAGGATAAGTCGCATTGGTTTAAGGCAACACAACTGTGGATATAATTTTCAGCTTTGAGCGAGTCAGATTCGGAAATGTTTGTGAAAAATATTTTGTCAGTCGCATTTCGGCGTTCACATTTTACCTGAGAACAGTTTTTTTAGGTTCCGAAGGGGCTCCGACACCTATTCCAGGACATTACGGCCGTCCACCCAGTAGCAGCACGGTCACTTCAAACGGATCAGCTCCTAACACGATCGTTGGTGGAGTCATTTGTATCTTCATTTGTTGCTTTGATCGCGGCGCAAAGAGTTTTTTGGATTTAGGAAATTCGTTTTTAATTTTCTGGAGCAACGTTTGGTTTCTAAAACCTGTCATTGCACAGTTTCTTGCTTAAGTATTTGTTTCTATTCAAGGTTTAGTTAGGAATATGAGGCCCCTTCTTTTTTCCAGCTCATATGAGACTTGATACATCTATTCCTAAGTTACGGGTCGTGCAAGCAATGGCCATGCCCAACTCTGGACTCGAGATTAAGGACCGAACATGGCTGAAGATACCAATACCTATGTCTTTCTTAGGTATATAATTGTACAAGTGTAGAATTTCACTGTTAGTGTATTCCAATTAGTAGTACCAATTTTTTAAGGTAGCGACTTGGTTGATTGGTTAATGGAGCACGTTGATGGTTTGAGGGATCGCAAAGAGGCTCGAAAATACGCTAGTGATTTGTTGAAGGAAAAACTAATTTGTCATGCTGTCAGTAGAAGCAGTTTTACTGAACAGTGTTACTACAAACTGGGGGAGGAGTGTTCAGGTGAACAGCGCATCATTTATCTAAATAACGAGTTGGCTGATTGTTTTATTCTGTGATTTTATCTTTTTTGAGATGTAATTATAAAAGTTGTTGAAAGGTGGTAGAATTTGTGGTTTAAGAAGTTGGTCAGTTTCTAGAGTTTGTACGGATGCGGCGAGACCAGAATCCAAATGATCAAGGGGTACGGAGTGAAGTAGGGCTTGTAATACCTTCCCAGCCGGCATGTCTAATGGCCACTGGGGTGCCAGCCGGTTCACGTAATTGGCAGACAACACTGGTGCCACAGGGTGCACCGTCTATGGTAAGCGCTGTAGATAACCAGTCGGATATTCGAATGCGTTTTTACATGATGGATATATAGATTTTATTATTTTGATTGTCAGATCCTTTTTTTGCCTCCCAGAAGAATAATTTGCTTGCTACGAGTAGAAGGTGCATACTATTGCCTGTCCCACGAGCGCAATCTGAAATGTTTTTTTTTTGACTTTGTGTTGCTCATGAAAATGTGCGTAAATATTTTTTTTCTGCGCTAAATACAGTAACAATTTCTAAAATTACTCTCTTTTTTTGTTTAGGCAACTTTTCGTATGATTAAAAAATTATTAAATTGAGGAGAAATTAATTTGCCGTTTTGAACTACACTGATTGAAGGCTTTATTAGGCTTTTTTCTTAATCACTCATTAATATTTTTGTCACACGCTTTCGTAGAGCTCTAACAATTGTTCCCAGAGTATTAACAACGTTACTAATTGAGGTTGTATGACACGAAATTAATTTAAAGAAGCATGAATAAGCACTTATCTCACATTGTTGCTACCGGCGTAAGACCTTGTTATGCTGAAACAAGAAGTGATGATATTAATTGCATTACTGTAATCTTTCGAGAGATTAACATATTTTTGTAAGTGGTTCATAATCAATATGTTTAAAGGTGTGATTGAAGTGGTAAAAGTAACATTGATTTTGGTTGATAATCGACGCATGAGGATAAAAATTTTGAACTTATGTTTGTTAACTCAGTAGGAAAGTAGAGCATAACGAGTCAGATTGAAGAACACTCGGCTGGAACACTTTTTGGGGTGCTTGTTCAGTGAGAGAATTTTGACGATCGGCCGCCAGCTTTGTAGCGAATTAGTTTGCTGGAATAGAAGTTGTTGGTTGCTACAAAGGATTTCAGCAGAAATGAATGTTAATATTAAGATTTTGGTTGGATTTCGTTAAAAGTTTGATGCCGTATTGAATTACTGTAGCTGCTACATCAAGCTGTTAAGGAATACACTGCAGGGGGGAGAATTAGTTCTACAGTTCAAAATATTTTGCATCTTTTATTTTTATTTTTTTCGTTTTTGTTTGTGAGTAAAATGCGTTCTGATTCCTTAAAATGGAGACTGGAAAGGAGCCGAGGCTGACATTTCTGGCGGCAGGATTGCGATTTTACGACGAGTTTAGAAATGGAAATGAGGATTAACAGATAATTTGATGCTAGAACAGTGTACTATTGTTAGTGTCGTTTATTTATGGTTTTTTTACCTTCAATAAACAGTGTTTCTTTTCTGATTGTTGACTTTTGGAACTATTAGTTGTTTCAGAACGGCTTTTAATTTTCTTAATTTAATAATATGGAGGGGAAATGACATGGTTTGATGTGGTTGCACAATATTAAATTCAATTTGCTGAACAGAATACATTTTGAGTTATATTGGGAAGAAGCAGAAATAATGACAATAGTTTTAGAGAACGAAGGAAATAGATGAGTGATTTTTTAAAATAAACTTTATTACTATTGTTATACTTATTATAATTATAATTACCACTTTTTTTCTGTATTGATAATTGAAATACCGCTAAGTTATAAAAACAAGTTGGCAGTCAAGGATCTCGTTGAAATGTATTTAGAGGTTATGTTAATGTTTTGAATGATTATTTTTATTTTTTTCCTTTTACAAAAATTTATTTGATTGTTGTAACTGATTAATTATGATAATTATGTAGTCAGAATTTGATACTGTTTCTTTTTTTTTTTTTTTTTTTTTTTT